CACCGGAACGCGAACCGGCAACCTTCTTGCTACGAGGCAACAGTGGTACCAACTGCGCCACCCTGCAGCCCTACAATTAACACATAAAAGATTTTTAAAAGTTTGTATATCATAATCTAAACAATCTACTGCACTGATGTCACCGCTTGTTTCTGTCGTATCTCCCAACAGTCAGTAATAAAGACAGAAGATGCTGGGAACCAAAAGCTTTTTTATTTTAAAGCAGCTTGAAACGATGAAGAAAAGGAGGCTGGCGTGTGATGCATTATTGAGCGAGAGATTCTTCTTAAGTTTCAGATATAAAAGAAGTGTGTCTTTCAAAAGCGAGGGTGTCTGAATTTAAAGCACTCTGGGGTCTTTTTACGCCACTGATGAGTTGCTATGTTTTGGTTGGTAACAGCTGACACAATGCTGATACAGTAACTCGGTTAAATAAATAAATCTGCAGCAGATCTTGGTTCCTCTTTGTCATTAGCTTGCTGAGCTAATTACAGAGCGTAGTTGTATTCAGACTAATAATACACCGAGGTGGCACGACGACCTTCTGATGTTCAACTACACAACTGTTCTTCTCCTTGTTTTCTACTCTGGATAACTAGTAAACGTGATTAAGAAACACCTGGAACAGCTTAATTAGCATTAATTTAGTGAGTGAGTGACGCATTTAACTGCATAACTCCTTCCCCTTCTGCACTTATCATTTGCAATATTACTTTTTAATCGTTTGTGCAACATCAGTTTCCGTATCATGTGCAGTATTTCATTTCATGTGCAATATGTAATGTGGAATTATCATGTGTGATAACTGCTAGCATTACTTTTTACTGTTCTTATTTTAGCTTAAGTGTTTATTTCAGTAATATTTTGTGCTTATATCGTATTGTTTTTTTTGCTTTTTAGGCGCTGTGTTTCCTATGTTGTGTCATTTGTTTTTTCAGAGCAATATTTGGCACAAGAATTTAATTTTTTAGCAATTATTTGAATATTACACTTCAACATGTTTGTACTACCTGCTATTGCACTGCTGCATTGCAATTTTTTTTTTTTAAATTGAGAGAGAACGTAAAGAGTAACAGCTCCAGTAGATCTAAATCACACAATTCAGTATGTTTAATATATTTCAGCAACACACACTGTCCTGCTCAAGCAAACAGTTCTGAAGTTCAGTTAGGGTTTTACGTTGCTAATTCATGGAAGAATCTGTGCAAGATCAGTGATGTGCAATGCTGTTATTTCTATAATCTACTATTTATGTATATTTTGATTTAGTTTGGTAGATTTTTTATACTATCCTTTGCTGCTACACACTTCAAATTTCCCCACTGTGGGATTAATAAAGGTTTAACTTATCTTATAATACAATCATGTTTCTATAATAATCACACTGCAGCATCAAGGTGTTTCATTTTGTTTCCCTTTCAGCAATGCTTCCTGCTTTTGGTCATTATTACTCATTAAAAATACATCAGTTGTAGCTCATGTACGCGAGGCGCCTGCAGCCACGACCACAAAACACAGCATCGTGATGGATAGCTTGTCAAAAGCACACTGGCACTGGTTCTCAATCAGAAGACCAAACTCCTGTAAGGACGGCATGAGGGTGTCATTTCTTCGTTACTGATTGCGCTGCTGCTGCTCTAACTTATAATGCAGTTGTGCTATTTTAATCACAGCTAGAACAGCACACTGGGAAAAACAGCAGATGTGTTTCCAAACCTCAGGTACAAGTCAGAAGAAAAAAAGAAGTGAGTTTGTGAGCTGAACTCATGACCGGGAGAGTTCAAAAGTTCAAATGTGAGAGTAGAAGCGATGCAACTGTTTTGCATTCGGCTGCAACGTTCACGAGCTGCTGACGCCTCGCGGGATTATTAGAAATCACTGTTTTGAGAAGGAGCTGCTCACATTTTATGATTCAGGTGACATTTAGAACACAGCTTTGACTCCAATTCTCAGTAGCTCTCACTGTGCAATGAAAGAAAACAGAGCGACTCAGACACACGTCTAAAGAAAAAGACAAACGACGCAGATACAGTGTGATGTGCAGAGAGTCAGCAAACAGCAGCAGCAAAAACAGGCTGAGTTTAAAACTTCGGTTTAGAAATTGCAAGCAAGTGAAGAAAAGCTAATTAAGAAAATCCACATTCACTCGGAGGAGAACAGAAACCAGCAGAAAGCGTTGAACTCCACGTGGAGACTAAATGCATGACCTCCAGAGGGTGCTAGCAGGACGTTAGTCTCCTTCTTGAGGCTTCTGAGGTTTTATCGTTTGAATAGGTCACACAAATTGAAAAAGCAAGGCCAGTTATTGTTAAACTCACTGTGACAGATTCAAAAACAGCAGCATTCTTCATGTTCCACATGGATGAGACCTTAATCCAAACTACCTTGTATAGGTGAAGATAAGAAAACAGCGTTTCTGTACAATATTTTGCTTCTCGGATTTATGTTCATATCTAAAACACAACGCAAGCATTCCATTTTTATAGACTTGCTTTGTCTATTTTATTGTCTTTTACCATTTTTAATTATCCATCAATTCATTGATAGACTTATTTTATTTATTTATTTACTCTGGTTTTTATGCTGTCACACTTTATATATATATATATATTCTTTGTTATGGATTGATATGAAAGGCTGTGATTTTTTTTTTTACAACTTAATTCCATTTCTTGCTCTATGGGTGCTTTAATCATACAGTTTGTATTCATTAGTGTTTGTATTGATTTATTTTTGTAATATTTTACCTCGTTCAACTCCGTCTTCACTTTTTGCTTCTCTGTTCTTTTTGTTTTTTTCTTTTCTGGCCCATCTGTAAAGCACTTTATAAACTCCGTTCTTACAAATTTGCTATAAAAAAAAAGGTATTATTGTGTCCACATAGTATCTCTACAGCCACGGAGGTGCAGTTCAGTTTTTGAGGGCTTCCACATCAGTACAGACCTGTTCCTATAACAACATACGGTCTGTCAATAACATACAAATGCAAACCCACTTTTATGCAGGAACACATGAGCTCAAACACAACCTCGGCCTCAGGTTCCCGTTTCATCTTCATCTCTCGGCGCAGGTACAGCAGAAGAACAAATAAATTCGCTGCCTTTCAAAAGACAAGAGGCTGATGCGAGCTCTGCTGAGCCGGAATGACAGAAAGGGAGCATTCGGATGCAGAACAGGAGAGGGAGAGCTTTTCAACAATGCTCTTTTAATAAATCAAGGAGGCGGATCAAGGCTGCCTCTGCTATCTTTATGAACTCTGTGCACAGCAGCAAGCCTCGGTAAGAACAATAACACGCTACGTATCGTCTCAAGAGTGAGTGAGAAGGGAAAGATCAGGCTGAGATAGTTACCAGTGTGTCATGTTTTGTTGCCTGCCTCTCATTTCCTTTTTTTTTTTTACGTCTGTTTTTCCAAGGTTGCTCTGAGGTGACAAGCTGTGCTTTATGCTGAGTCTGAAAGGAAGGTTGAAAAGAACTTGGAAAATCTTTATATAATAAATCTGTAAATTGTTGTTGAACACAAAAGGACTGAAAATGAGAAATGAAGAATATAGTTGTTTTCACACTTGGCATCTGACAGCCTGCTGGGTTAAAGCACCAGTATTTGGCACTCAGTGTTAAATATATTATCACTACTTTATTTTTCTAGCAACATGGTTATACTAGTAGTAAGTCCTACGTGCAATAAAGAAGTGTGACGATATTAAATCATTTGGTCTCCTGTTATTGTGCTTAATCGCTGCATTTTGCATTTATAAGTTGGGTTTCTTCTGTGTATCGTTACAGCTGAGGTGAGTTCTGAAAAACTCCTGGGGCCTCATGCGCAAAGACTTAGGTGGATTTCATACTGAAAGCTGGTGCACGCTTCCATCCAGAAAACTGCGTACGCACAAAAAAGTTCAGATGAACAAAAGTGAGCGTACGCCTGAATCCACCAAACCCCTTTTCTTTCTAATATTGCTGGTGTCAGGGATCACACTTTGGTTGATTTGTCTGACACTTTTGTGTAATGCTGACTATGAGGGGCCTCTTGAGAGCAAGATACTTCTTGATCAAAGTAAGCATTTCAATGCTGATGAGGATGTTGGGGGTCACATTTTAGTTAGTCTTCCTGACGTTAAGTTGTGTGACAGCAACTCTGAAGCCCTCAAGTTGGCTTTACCTTTGAAAACCTCAGAGGTTAGCCCATCTGTAGATAAAGTCTCTGCAGATGGTATCAAGATGTCTGGAAAGCAGCTTGTTGCTGAACAGGAGAAAGATGTATCCTTGTGACCCTTGTATGCTGAGGTACGCTCAGAGGAAGAGTGTACCAGCATTTCGTTTGGTTCCTTTATGAAAAATGGTGTGTTGATGAGGAAATGGCAGGCTCATGCTCTGTGGGAGGGTGCCAGATCACGAGTAACTCAAATAATGGTGTCAGTGCCACCTCATGTGAATATATTAAAGTTGCCACATGCCGGGAGCATGGCTGATCACCTTGGTGTCAACAAGACAAACAGTTGTATCTTGCAAAAGACAGATGTCAAGAATTTTTGCAAGACTTGCCAAGTTTAACAATGTATGGGCAAATCAAGAGGTCCCAGTTGTACCTTTGCAACCCATTCAGCAGGGTATTGGTAGACTGTGTAGGACCCATACCAAAAACAGGGAATGGAAATTAGTTCATGTTGACAATTGTTTTCAGCCACTCGTTTCCTGAAGCTGTTCTGCTCAGGAAAATCACAGCCAAAAGTGTGGCTAAAGCCTTAGTTAAATTCTCTGGACTATATTTGTAATTTATATGTAGAGAAGTCTTGTAAGCACACTCCAATAACCTAAATACTGCAGTAGTGCAGTTTAAATACTTTGGTGTGATGGTTAATAAACAAACCAACAAAAAAACAAAAAAAGCAAACTTATGCTTCTGATATGTTTAAAACTAAGAATCTATGGATAAAAGCACAACTGATTTTCTGTCAAAACACTGAACACAATCTGTAAGTTATAGACAAAACATGCAGCTCTAAACATGTTTTTTTTATATACACGGTGCAAGTATATACAATTGGGTTGAATACAAAAAGTTATAATATAAAAGAATTTTTTTTTTTTTTTTTTTTGCCAGCCCTTCCAGCAGCGACATGACTTGTCCCATCAAAATAATTAAAGCGCTTCAAGTGTTATCCATCCTTTCAATATTTTCAAGCATTGCAGCAGCCAGGTCTTGGTCTCACCAGCTTTATTCCAAGAACCTTTCCTCAGACCTCTCCAGGTACTGAAGCAGATCACCAGATGCATCCCGTTTCCTTTTCCCTGCAAAAAAGCACCCAAAAAATGTATGTTTTTTTTGTCTTTATAAACAATTAACTTACAGTAAATGCTGTATTGTGCGATTTTTATGATGGGCAAAAAGACAACATAAATCATGTTTGCACTGTCTGAACAAATCTTACCTGATCTGCTGGAGGACGACGTGGATGAGCTGCTGGATGGTGGTCTGGCCAACTGTGCTGAGTCCTCCAAGGCCGACAACTCTAAATAAAATGAAACATTGTTAATAGCATCTGCATTTAAAAGAAACACCAAAAAAACCTCAGTGTACAAGAAACCAATATGTTGAATTTACTCCACTGCGTTAATTTGGTCATTTGACTCAGACTTGTATTAACGATGCAAAGCATAATCAATGCATTAAAAAAAAATAACCCTAAGGCTGCGATTGGAAGAACTGTCAACTCCTCTCAAAAAGCAATAAACAAGTGAAATAACTGTTAGATGACTGGATATAGTTAATTTTTACTCCCTTGAATTACTCTAAAATGTTAAATCTCACAGGTGCACATGTGACAAAAAACCACTAAGTGTCTTTTCTTACCTTAAAGAGATGCTCAGATTGATGTTGGTGCAAATAACTTAAAGGCCAAGTGTAACCTGAACCATCACCAGTCATGTCTTTTGAGGCTTAACCTCATCCAAACTTCCCTTGACTCCCAAGTTATGTCTGCCTGCTCTCGAAGTTTGGCTCCAAACTTCTGCTTCACACTAAAGGCCTGGAGAGGGGCTAGAATTAGGGTAAATATGAGGGTAAATGGGGAAAAATTCCCCCATTGAAAACAATATCTATGTTCTCCTAATGCACAGACAGTAGTTTTAAAATCAATGTATGTACAAATGTGAGTGTACAAACTTAGAGGGTGATTTAAACGTAACAGACCAGAACCTTATTATCAAACTAAATGTACAATTTGCAAAAGTATCTTCCTCCAGCAAAGTGGGAGAAAAAGAGAGAAGTCATCATTTTGATCAATTCAGTCTTTCTGCTTTTGCACAGGATATAACTTTATTTATAACATCTGATGTTGCATCTGGATTTAGCTGCTAACACAGATTATTGTTAAACTGTTTGATTATTGCCAATTGATTTAACGTTAATGTACCTAGGAACAACTTAACCCTAGTCCCTGACTGAAAAATAAAGATAAAATTACCAGGGATGCTTAGGCTGTAGTAACAAGGACTTGAACCGAGCTAGTTCTACATTCAGCTAATGTGGCATCATAACATAATCAGCTAAACATAGGGTCAGCTAGTTAGCCCTTTAGACGGAAAATAATACAGATTTTTAGTGCTGCTTATCTAGTCTGTTCATTTATTCAATGACATTATACCTCATCAAAAATCAAAAATTAGCAATGCTAGAGAGTTTAAAAATCATTGGAAACGTCCTCCTTTCACCTTTTTACATATGGGGGGGAACAAGAAACTACTAAAATGGAAGATTCTTCGATATTTATTAAAACTACTGTTTAAATTACAAGTGGAAAGTAAAGTGGTGCCCCAAAAATTCCCCATCACAGTCAGGATCAGGTCTTCATACAGTGCTGTCAGTGTTTACTTAAAGGTTTACGTCACCATCTGGGAGCTTCAGCGATAACTGGTTCCTGAGAGAAAGGAAATGACATCATGAGATCACATTGAAAGAGATGATGGAAGACAGACTTCTAACAGTGCTTTGTTTTGAGATGTTACATGAAAGAATGACAACAGCTCATATACAGCATACCTTGACAGTGTCTAATTTAGATTTGTAGAAAAGAAGTGACTGCAATCATCAAAGCTCATTCATCAGGCAAAACTGGGAGGCATTCTCTGCGTAAAGCCTTTAATACGTCAAGATTTTCTGTTTTTTCTAATTGATACGCTGCAAAATTAAAAACCACATGTTCCTTTCTGACATGTTAAAGGATAGATTAAACAACACATTAATCAAAACAATAAGTGCCATAATAATTTCTGAAAATAATCACTAGTTGCCACTTTAATCCAGTTATTTGGTTTAAAAAAAAAAACACACATCCTGGCTGCTTACAGAGGCATAAGTTTATCTGCAACAGAAGCAAATCCTTCACCTTCTATGCACTATTATATAGCAAAGGTAAATCTGGAAATTAAAGCAACAAAGACATTTCTGTTTTCTGAGGTTAGAACCAGGTTTAAATCTCAAAAGATTTAGAATTAACATTTGTTACATTCAAATAAAATGAAAGCACTTTACATTGCTTTCCAAGGTTTCCATTACAAACGGCTTGTTCTCTATTCAACTTTCCACTTAACCACATTGTATTGCTTTAATTCATTAACGTCACCAGAGCAGCCACAGAGCATAGTGCTGCCACCTCCATGCTTGATGGTAGATCACACTTTACCTTTTCTTTGACTTTCCTATCATCTTGTTTTTATTCATAACCTGGGTTTCGTCTGTGTATCATCACAGCTCAGGTGAGTTCTGTAGAACTCCTGGATCTTTTTCCACATGTGGACTTCAGCTGCTGCGTGGGTCTTGGCCTCACCCCCCCACAAGACTGGCCTACCTACAAACCCATGGAAGCTGGAGGGACAATAGGGTCCATAAGGTGGCTCCATGTAGTGTCCAGCTCCAGGATAAGACACGCTCTCAAAGTTGTCCTTCCCATGACGCTTCAGTCTCTCCACCATCTCGTCCATGTAAGCCTTGCTGTCCCAGTTGAGGTCCTCCTCTGAGGCCACAAACAGGAAACGTCCCTTTGCTTGTTCAATGGGGATCAGGGCGTCCTTATTCTCCTCTGCCAGGGGACTGTTTTGAGTATATTTGATATTGACGGCTTCCGTCTCAGTGAAAATGACTTTCTTTGCGTCAAATGTTAACACGGAGCGGATTTGTCTGTCCTTGTAGTAGAGGGGTATCAGCGTATTTGCAGAGCAGCCATTTATCCACACTGTGGCCTCAACACCTGGCAGGTAGGAGGCTATGGACAGTGCAAGATCTCCACTTTTTGACAGTGATATCACACCAACTCCTTTACTGCCCACCTGTGGAAAAACATCCAAATTAAAGAGCAAAAAGATAACTGGAAATGTTAGCTGCTTCCGTTCTTTTGAAGATATACATCACTGGAACATCTTTTATTCACCACCGTGTAGTGAATGTTACAGACTTTAGCAACTCCACTGACAGTGTAGCACAAAAGCAAATTAGCAAATGTACTACACCCAAGATTCAACACATTTGTATGTTATTGTTCAACCAACTCGCCTTATCTTGTCTTTTCAGAAACTCTATTGCTTCTTCAAAATAATCAAGATGGATCTCTTGGATGTTCTTTGGCATGTCATCATGGCGGTACAGCGCTATAGTCAGAACCACAAATCCTCGACTGGCCAGCAGAGAGGCCCTTTTCTCCGACAGACCTCCACCAAAAGTGTACAGATCCAGCACAGCGGGGAATGGACCACTTCCTGGAACAGAAGACACATTGCATGAGCAAACAAATCACACTATGAGTGAAGTGTAGAACTTTTCATTAATGCATGTTTTGCATTGTACCACATAGTAGCCCAATAGTAAAGAGTGTTTGCTGTTTCAGTCGGTCCAAAACGCAAAAACTTACAGGTATTGTATAAAAAGACACTTTTTTTTCTCACTGTCATTAAATGTAATTAAACTCTGCCTGTTTTAGATCAGTAAGGATAGCCAAATTTGTTTCTATTTCCCAAATGCCACAATGAGGGAATATTTTAGAGACTTTTTTTATTACATTCTTCAAAGTCAGAAGTTTTCATACATTACCTGAGTATTTGTGAATTTTTGGAAAATTCAGAATTTTTCTTTGGCTAGAGTGGGTGATGTCACGTGTAATTGTCTCCTCAACTTCTACTGCATATTAAGAATTCATACATACACATTTAGGCATTTCCAACATCTTTTACCCAGGATGAGTCTCATTGCTGTAGGACTTTTTTTTGTTGTTTTTTTTAAACAAATCACCTCAGAACACTGAGTGCACCAACCAAAATTCTTATTGACTCCCATTATATTGGAGTTCCAAAGTTTTAAGTGAAAATCAGAATCAGTGAGTCTCTGTAACCTACCACAAAAATCTATACAATACAGTTTGTTCATGGAAATACATCTGCTTATTCAAAACAAGATCGTGCTTCACACGGTAAAAGAACTTTTTTCCGATATGACAAAGTTTTTGAGCTGTGACTTTGTTTGAGGAGTTAATCCCTAGTCTGCCGGTCTGCTCCCCTCTCTGCTCACTGCAAACAACCTGTGACTCATAGCTGATTGACTGAATGATGCTGGACGACACTTTCAAATTAAAAGCTCAAATATGTTAAAAGTTACTGAGTAGGGTTTGCGAAACATGCTGTCATTTTGAAATAAAATGTATAAATTCTACCTTATGTGTAATTTTAGCAGGATATTTTAACTGGAAAAAAAGATGCATGGGCTCAAAATAGTTTGTCCAAATGTTACAGCTCTGTACAATTACAGACAACACAATAATAAAACATTGCTCCTTTTAAGGTCGATCTTATCACGCTGACCTTTGTGCACATGGGAGGCATAAACTAGACTTCAGCCTCTACAATAGTGTTAACTGCATCTTGCCTCTTCCTGAACGCAAGGATGTGATTCTTCTATGTCTTTTCAACAATAATACAGCTCTATGGCATAAGGCGTGAGCGTCATCAGGCAACTCTTGCTCAGACTGATCTGTTTTAGTAAATAAATCTGTCCATCTAATAGTGCCATCATGGCCTATCGGTTTGCTAAGTGAATGACAAAAACATGGACAAACCTGGGGGAGTAAACAGGACCCCGCGAATATTCCCCTCTTTGACGGGGAGCCGACTGACCCCGTCTCCGATCAGAAACCTCTCGTTGATCACTTCTGCCAGCATCCTGCCTTCCTCCTCCTCCTCCTCTTCCTCCTCATGCACTGAGAATTTCACCACATGAGGGATTAGCGAATTTGTCTTTATAAACCTTTTGTGCAAAGTGTCCGGTTTCATCGACCACAGCAGACCCATGGGTTCAACCCCAACATAGCTCCCACTGAGTGAGGGGTCTCTGTCCAGGTGGATCTCCCCGCTCCCATCAGCCCTGTAGGTGGCCGAGGAGCTGAACATCACTCCCTTCTCATCAGTCGATCTGGCCTTCATGGTGACCAGCTGTTTCGACCTCAGTCCAGTGACCGTCACCTGAACAGGATCATCGAACAAACACCTGGCACTCGGCTGCAGCCTCAGTCTGACCTGGGCGGACATCTCTGCTTGAAAATCCTGCTTTTTTTTTTTTCTTAGAAATTCAGAATTTGTGCAGCTACTGTAAAAGGAAAAAAAACGGGCAATTTGGTTATTACAAAGTGTAGGATCTCCAGTAAACCAGTTTAAGATATAAAATTACACAAAATGCACTGTAAGGAGTGGCCTACTTAAGTAAAGAGGAACTAGTTTTGTCTTGGGGACAAACATTTACTACAGTTGAAAGCGTTGTTTCCAGAAATACTAGAGATTACCCAGCACATCTGAGTTCTTCAGCTTCATTCATTTAATCATGATACTCAACAAAAGCTGTTACGGGGAGGTTCGAAGGCTCATGACACGGCAGACGGGCAGTTTAAACAATAAATAATTTATTTGTACATACAGAAACCAATACAGAACTAAAAGAGGTTGCTGGAAAAGCAACTATGTCTTAAATGAATAGAACAAAACAAAAGGCACGGAAAAAACAAAACTAGACTAAACAAGAGAAACTAAAAGAGGACACCAAAAGGTGTTAAATAAGGAGACTGACTTGAAAACAAAAAGACTAACAAACTGAGAAAACGCTAGCTCTACGCACGGGCAGGTGGGGTAAGAAAACAGAAATAAAAAGAAGTAAAAAAGCTAGCGGACCAAAAGCTAACAACGACTGGCGAACTAAATACAGGGCGAGGAGAACTGACTTATGGACAGGATGACAAACGGGAGTAAATAAACTGGCGGCACATACGGACTGGTGGAGTAACGATGCTAAACCTAGACTGACTGAATCTGACCTGACAGAACCGACTGAGAGGAGAGGGGGAAGCAGGGTGGTGAATGGGGGAGCGGAGCGCCTGGCGTTGCCGCGGCTGCCGAAGACCGGGAGCGGACGCCAGGGAGCTTCGGGAGGGAGAGGTGGACGGAGCTGGTGTCCGGGCTGACGGGTGGACCAGAGCGGGCATGTGACTGGTGGTGAATCCGATATCCGGGGCAGGAGTGAAACGGTGACAGAACCGGTGAATGGATTGACGGCGTGGCGCTGGAGCTGAAATACCAGCAGACCGGAGGTTGCAGCTGGAGCGGACCAATC